CCCGAAACGCAAGTGACGTTTGTATCTGTTACGTGGACTTTCGCCAACAAGCGCGTGACTTTTCCCCACAAGGCGGCTCTTGCTGTGATCATGGCTGCTACACTTTGTGTTGCTTTTGCACTTTTAGCTTCTCTTCACACTTGTGGTGAGTGCATTATCTTTACGCTGCATATTGTGGCAGTTTTCGAGTTTCCAGCAAGCCTTGACCTACTTAATGTAAATCTAACCGGACTCAATTTTTTATGTTGTTTTTTTATTCATCTGCATAAGTTTTATGATTCCTTGAAACTTTAAATTTCACTTCCTGGTTGGAAGTGAAATTGCTGAGACGAACACTATCTTTTGCAAGTGTCCTGGACTGACATAGGCAGCATTAATCTTGCTTGTTTTGTTTTTTTTTTCAGTGTAATAAAACAATCAAATTTGTTGGTGTGTGTAGATGGGAAGCTGCGTTTTGCCTCCTACTATGGAGACCACATGGTGCTGCAGAAGTCTCCAGAGAGAGCTGTGCTGTGGGGATATGGCCCTGAGGGTGCACAGGTTACCGTCTCCTTGTTAGGTTTATTTAAACGGCAAGCCTCACTGGTCACTGTGACAAACGGTAAGTACAGCACGTTGTTGTCAAAGACGGGATTTATCCTGACATCTGTACTGAATTCAAACTAAGTGAAATTGACAGCAGCAGATATAGCGGGTACCTCACTTTTGTTTTGGGGCTTGTATTCTGTAACTGTGGTCACTGACCTAGTAAAAGTAACAGCATGTTGTGCCTCAGATTCAGTCTCTGAATTTGTCTTGATCATGTTTCATAGATGCTACAATGTTACACATAGCTAAAAGTTTTTTGTTTCTTTTTCTTAAAGGCATTTGGCAAGTGACCCTTGACCCTGTTGCTGCTGGTGGTCCATATAATGTGACAGCAAAAGTTCAGAACGATTCAGCTACTCTTACAGATGTGCTGTTTGGAGACATTTGGATGTGTGGAGGGCAGAGCAACATGTGGTTTAACATGACTCAGGTAAGGTTGTCTGTCTCTGTGCTGACATTCAGGTTTTGCCTTATACCTGGTGTCAGCTGGGACATGCCAAAACCCTCTGCATCTTTGCCCAATTACAAAAGAGCCATCAAACATAAGGCAAAAAGCAGTTTCTTCTTAAAATGTATTTAATCATTTGTTGAAGCATATCTATTTTGTTTACTCACTCTTCACCAGATTTTCAATGCAACAGAGGAGCTGTCTGTTGTTGCTAAGTATCCTTATGTCAGGCCTTTTATGGTAGCGTTGAACACAAGTGACATCGAGTTAATGGATCTGATAGAAGTAGAGATTCCCTGGTCTGTGCCCACTGCCAGTAAGATAAGATTTTATTTTCATTTTAAGTATTTATTGAGATATTGGAAAATGTGTTTATACTTAAAGGTTTTGTTTTGGATCATTGAACATTCATATAATACTTTGCATCTCTCCCTAAATTCAAGCTATGGTTTTATTGTGGTTTCAACATATGACATTAGAATATGGTCTCAGGTCAAATAAATATCAACCATGATGCATATATACCGCTCTTAGCTTGCGTTATACTGGTTGATTAATGAACAGCTGTGTTTCCAGGTGTGGTGGAAGAGTTTTCTGCTGTGTGCTGGCTCTTTGGACGTTACATGTATGAGACCTTGAAGTACCCCATAGGACTGGTGGAGTCCTGTTGGGGTGGCACACCGGTCGAAGTGTGGTCATCTTCAAGAGCCCTGAAACAGTGTCAAGAAGTGCCAGTTGTAAACGGGTAAGGACACAAAAACACATTCTCCAGCTGTCTGACTGAAGTTAAGACAGCAGTTGTTTCTGTGTGTTTAATACCCATCAAACATGGTCTGTACTAACTGCACTGTGCATGTTTTCTCCATGTCGTGATCTCAGACCTAAAAAAAATTCTATTTTGTGGAATTCAATGATCCACCCATTGCTCAATATGACCATCAAAGGGGCCCTCTGGTACCAAGGTAAGACTCCTTATATCACAGGTAGGTTTGGAGTATTCAGTGGCTCACATAAACTTCTGGGGTTTATCACATTTTCAGGTGAGGCCAATGCAGAGTATAACCAGGACAAGTACAACTGTTCCTTCCCGGCTATGATTGATGACTGGAGGATGGCATTTCATCAGGGCTCAGGGGGGCAAACAGCTCCTGACTTCCCCTTTGGGTTTGTCCAGGTCTGTTAGGCATTGGTTTAACACTAACAAAGAGTAAACTTGAAACATTTTTGGTGTAGGTGCACCATTACTGTAGCACTGTAGCATCCAACAACACAAGGGCTTCTCTTTTCAGTAGAAGTGTAACATAGGCCGATTTATAACATTTTTTTATTGTGTTGCAATGGTGATGAGTGATTCCTCTACATGTGCAGCTGTCCACTTACATAAAGACCTCCAAAGATGATGGCTTTCCAAACATCCGCTGGCACCAAACAGCAGACTTTGGTTTTGTTCCTAACCTCAGGATGAAGAAAACCTTCATGGCTGTGGCTTTGGATTTACCAGATGCAACTTCGCCGTATGGCACGTAAGAACAAGTGAAAGCATAGAATTTTTGTTATATCTAGTGTGTACAGTGGGGGAAATAATTACTGGATCCTATGCAAAATTATTTGGTTTGTTCACTTACAAAGAAATTAAGTCTCCAATTTTTTTGGTAGCTTCATTTTTGTGTAGAGAGACAGAATATCAACCAAAAATCCAGAAAAGGCAGTTTACATAAAAGTTAGACATTTTTTGCATATTCTCAAGCTAAACATTAGTACTCTGTGGAAAAACCGTTGTTTCCAAACACACAAGTTTATTTAAATTCAGTCTTATTTATATAGCGCAAAATCACAAAAGCAGTTGCCTCAAAGCACTTTGTATTGTAAGGTAAAGACAATAATATATAGAAAACCCCACCAATCAGATGAACTGCTATGACAAAGCTCTTGGCGACAGTGGAAAGCAAAAACTCCCGTTTAAATGGAAGAAACCACCGGCAGAACCAGGCTTAGGAAGGGACACAGTCATTGTGGGTAAGGGGAGGTGGACAGGAAAAAAGAGACACTGTGGAAGAGAGTCGGATATTAATAAGAATTGGACATATAATCAAATCAATCCTTATACAACAGTTGGAAGAGCTTGGTCTGCGTAGCCGGCAATAAGTCAGACTGGTCCCCAGTGGGCGTTGGACTCCGCCAGGGCTACCTTTTGTCACAGATTCTGTTCATAATTTTTATATAATTTCTAGGCCAAGGGGCGGAAGGCTTCTGCTTGGGCAGTTTCAGAATCTCGTCTCTGCTTTTTATGAATGATGTGGTTCTGCTGGCTTTATGAGATGGTGACCTCCAGCTCGCACTGAAACGGTTTATAGCCAAGTGTGAAGCGGTGGAAATGAGAATCAGCGCCTCCAAGTCTGAGGCCATGGTCCTCAGCCGAAAAAGGGTGGAGTGCTCACTATGGGTTAGGGACCAGTTCCTGCCCCAAGTGGAGAAGTTTGAGTATCTCAGGGTCTTGTTCACGAGTGAGGGGAAAGGGGAGTGGGAGATTGACAGACGGTGCTGCAGTAATGCAGATACTCTACCGATTTGTCATGTTGAAGAGAGAGCTGAGTGTAAAAGCGCTCTCGATTTACCAGTCGAGCTACATCCCCACCCTCACCTGTGGTCACAGACTTTCGTTAGTGACCGAAAGAACAAGATTGTGGATACAAGCAGCGGAAATGAGCTTTCTCCACTTCTTCATTATTTAACAGACATGTTATGCAGTTCTCTATCCAGTTGACTATTAGTATGCAACCTAACCCAACAATGTAAACTGTATTTTCATACATAACCATCAACATTTCAGAGGCCGCCTTTAATAGGCAAATTTTTCTCAAAGGTATGTCAGTCACATTGTACTGTCTTAAGATGGACAGACTGTACAACTCTTTTTAGCTAATACTTTTAGCATTCTACCCAACATTCAAGAGCCACAAGGAGCTCTCCTCTCGTCAGATGCCAAGTGGGTTTTGGTGTCTTGGCGAAGGACTCTTATACATGTGGACAGGAGAAGGTGGGGATTAAACCTCAAAACTATTAATAGCCATTGGTCTATCCACTCTACAAGCTGAGGCACACATGTCACATTTGGGGATGAAAATAGACTAGGAAAAAAAAAAAAGGAACATACCCCTCTGATGTCACTGATTGTTTGTGGATGGTGAAAATACCAAAGTCAAGGCTAGCTGTAAATGTTGCAATTTTTGGAGCCAAAAGTGGCAATTTATGGAAAAGAAGATGGAGTTGGTAAGTGGTACTTGACCCTTACCTGATGAGAGGAACATGCCAATTTTACCTCTTGTCCATAAGGTAGGTGTCTAACCTGGTAGTATCAGTTCTAGATTAGGTACTGGAATTAACATGCAGGCTGTTTTTCACTTACAGTGGCAGAATTGGTTCTGCATTGGTGGGAAAGAGATGAGTGATGCTTAAAACTCCATTTAAGAAACGTACAATCCAGTGCAGATTACTGAATTTATCTAATGTCATCATAATCACTTATGAGGGAAATAATTGTGTATTTGATGATGGCGTTGATTATTTTTCAGTGGTACGGCTAGTGTAAAGCTAACTCTAAACAGATACAAAGTATTGAGAGTACAAATATTGGATTCTAGTTTATATGACAATCGGATTGTTTATAAAAATACTGATGTGGTTTTTCCGTTTCAGGATCCATCCCAGAGACAAGCAGGATGTAGCCTATAGACTGACACTGGGTGCTAGGGCTGTGGCTTATGAGGAAGAGAACGTGCCCTTCCTCGGACCTTTCCCCAAAGAAATTGCATCCACTCAGATGTACGTCAACATTACCTATGACCAGGCAGTCTCTGTCACATCATCCAAAGACATCTTTGAGGTAAGGGTGGCAGGGATGTAAGCGTGAGTTAGCACAAATCCTAAAACTTTAGGGTTGACATTTGTATCCCTAGACCCCTTTCAAAAGTGTCCTACAGCAAGATATCCATCCGTCCATCCATTTTGTTCTGCTTATCTGGGGCCAAGTCATGGGGAAAACAACCTAAACAGTTGGCCTCAAGCCGCCAGCTCCACCTCATCTGGGGGAACACCATTGCCTTCCCACCCCAGGATATGCCCAGCGTATCCTGGGCCTACCCCAGGATATCTGCCTGGTGGAATATATCCATAACACCTCGCCCAGGCAGCGTTCTAATCAGATGCCACCACCTCAACTGGCTCAATGTGATGTGGAGGAGTCATGGCTTTACTTTGAGTGCTTTCTGAATGACTGAACTGTCTCTCAAACTAAGCCCAGCCACACTTCACTTATTTTTGCCACGTGTATCTGCGATCTTATTCTTTCAGTCATTACTTGGAGCTTGTCGCCATAAGTGAGTGTAGGAATGTAGATCAGCTGGTAAATCAAAAACTTTGCTTTTATACTCGGCTCTTGGTTCGCCACAACAGATTGGTACACCCATCAATGCAGAAGCTGTACCAATCTGTTTGTCATTTTCCAGCTCCCCTCTCCCTTCAATTGTTAACCAGACCCCAGGATACTTAGACTACTCTACTTGGGGCAGCAACTCATCCTAACTTAATTACAACAAAGCACCTGATCTGGAGTGAGAACACCATCCCTTTTTTTGGTGAGAACCATGGTCTCAGACTTGAAGGTTCCAGTCCAATTGGGAGGCTGCCACCCTATAAAGCTTACGCCTTTTGAAGCCAACAAATTCAAAACCAACAAACTGGGTGAAGTCCAAGAGCCACTGAACTGAATAGCTCATAGCAGTGGGTCAGATACCCCATACTCCTGAACCCTCTCAAACAGGATCCTCTGAGGGACGCTTTCTCCAAATCCACAAAGCACATGTAGACTCGTTGGACCGTTGCACCCTGCATTCCAACACTGTCCCTACTGGTGTGCAGGTTGTGTGTGCATATCAATGAGAAACATTGTAGAATAGTCTGCACAGCCTGGTTAAGTTACTTCTTAGATTATTTACTATTGTAGTTGTACTCTTATAATCATGCACTTAAAGAATATTTAGCTGTAGTCAATACTTGCTGTGATGACTTCTAAGTCAAAGTCACTTGTTGTTCTCTTGTCTTTTTAATCAAGGTCTGTTGCTCGGATATTTGGGCTCCATGTGGGCCTAAGTCCCTTTGGCTTCAAACTCCTATATTGGGGTGGGATCTGACCACCATCCAGGTGTCAGCTGCTGTGTGTCAGTCGTCTGAAGTCGCTGGTGTTCGATACGCTTGGAGAGACTGGCCCTGTGAGTTTAAAGCCTGTCCCGTCTACAGCGCCAGTTGGATTTTACCAGCACCTCCTTTCATCATCAATCACTCTTCATGGAAAGGAGGCGTTTGGAAAAGCTACTAACCCTGAAACTGTGACAAGGCATTTGTCTGTACGGTCAGTTGGGATAACTGGGCACGGTGTTGATTGGCGACCTCTCCAGGGTTTGTAATAGGCTCAGAGCAGCTTGTCTGTTCATTTTGTAATTCCATTTGGTGAAAACACTTTGTCTTCATGAAATTTGATGAATAAAATAATAAAAATCTCCATACCACTTCTTTATTACTTTGAATATGACCTTTTACTTTAAAAATAGTTGTATTTCATTGATCAGACACATATAGAACTAATAAAAGAAATCCCTTTATAGGTTTCACAGTACAGTACAATGTATCAGCAACAGAATGGTTTGAAACTGAATTTTACTTTCATTGTCAAACTAAGGAAACATTGAGCAATAATCAGTGATCACTCTCTTCATTTCCAAATGAGCCAATGAGCTGTATATTTCACAGCCTTGTTATTAGACACCATTTCAAAGCTGCTCCAACAAGGTTGTTCTTCAATTTGACAACTGCATCACTTAACAGTGGAGCTGGAATGTGATATGCAAGCCTACGAAACTTGAATTAAAAACCAAATACAAGTTCTACAGTGTATGTCACTGTTCGGATTAAGAAAAAAGCCCAACTGTGAGACGTACAGCTGCTGCTGAAGTTTTACATTGTGGTAATTTCAGTTTTATGTACTGACACAGATCTTTAAAGCAGTTTGCAATGGTTGGACATTAATGGTGGCCTCATCATGTACCGGACGTGGACATTTCACAGTTCTTCCATTACTTTATGCCCCAACCAACAGCTTTCCTATTCTCCTGCCTATAACCTTCAGCCATCAGCTATCTTGGTTATTACTGACATTCAGTTTTAAATAACATGCCAACAGAACGCAGTGTGTTCATTTGTCTTTGCTGAAGCCAAACAGGTAAACTCCTTTGGTAAATAAGCACCTGGCTGGTAAGCTGTTGGATAATTAATGTTGCATCTGCTTTCATTTTTCATGCTGTTGTTTTAGTCTATAGATGTTAATTACTGTGGCATTCATAAGGATTCACCTCACAGCAACACACCGTTCTGTGTATCTGAGGAGGATGTTTGCAAAACCTTATCTAGCAGCTTGTTTGGTTTCGTGATCACTCGCTGTAGTGGTGTAATAACTGATGGTATCTGACGGTGGTGTGGCAGACATGTTAGAGTGATTGGGTTTCTAAAAAAAAAAAAGTGCTTTATAGTTTTGTTTTTCTTAGAGCTCTGGTGTTAATGTGCGATCAGGCTTCTGTGTTTACCTTTGTTGGAATTTGAGAAAATGAGTCACTCAAAATAAAACTGCACAAACAATTTTAATTTGCGTGGGATTTTTTTAATTTTTTTTTTTTTTTTGGGGGGGGGGGGGTGAAGAATCATGTTCTCATTGCTGTATTTGTATTTTTTTTTTCTTTGTTTGTGAAGTTCTTAACTAATGTTCTGTGCCGTCCTTGCAGAGCAGCAATCACTGTGATGATTTTTAGGGGATTCAGTCAAATTTTCCTGACTACTGTGGTTTTTTGTTGTTTATTTTTGTTACAAGCATTAATGAAAATGTATCAATCGTTATAAAATCAAAAATAAACATTGCACTCTTTTTGTTATCATTTATGCTTTCCCACTGAATCCTTATGTCATGTTTGAGTTTTACATTAACGAATAAAGCATCGTTTCCTGTTTCAGAACAGCTGATTAGGCCATAATTTACATGAATCAGGAAGGATGGAAAAGTGATTTCATCCCGGTCAATTCTGTCATCATCACTGAATAAAATAAAATTTTAATTTAAAGTGTATAATTTTATAATAATTCAGCTGTAACCTGACAGGGACAAATTCAGGAGACAGAAACTGAAGAAAAAATCTTGAGAAACAGATCAGAGACAGCAAAAGACGAATCTTCCCCCAGATTATGACCATTTCATTGTCTGAATAATTATTCCCTAAAAATTTAGTCTATTGATGTAAAGTAGTGACCTCATTTTCTTGTATTTTGTTTTGCTCTTTAACATTACTGGAAAAAAATGCATCATGAGATTTAGAGAAAAAGTCTGCTTTAATGTTCCCCAGCTTAACCATTTATAATATCATCTAATATCAGCCTTCACTGACAAATAATGGCTTACTTAGGCAGAGATGTTTTACTGAGTTATAGTTTATAGTTCAGCAATAGTTCCAGATTTAACTAAAAAACTACAGGACAAGTTTTCTAAGTCTTTGATGAAAACCTGGAAAAGCTGTTCAGTCAGAAAAATAAAAAAGTTAATTAATTGGTTAATACACATTTGTTTGATACATTAAAGTACATGTTGATGTGGCACTAAATCCTTATTTGTATATGTAAGAAATGAGAGGGAATGAGAGTTTATAGCAGTTAGTTTTGGAGCTGCTTCCTCTAAACCAGGGGTCTCAAACTCGTGGTCCGGGGGCCACTAGCGGCCCACGTCACCCCTACTTGCAGCCCGTATATTGACGTGAGGAAATAGATTGCGATTTGGCCCTTGAAGTTACTTTTTCTGTTAGGGAGGATTTGTTTGTTGTTGAGTGCAGTGTTAAATTAAGTTCTTTAAAAAGCAAAAAATGATTTAATATGAGCAGAGAGTACAAGCATGTTGAGGGATTGGCTGTGTTAATTCAGTGAGAGAGTTGTTTGTGAAAACAATTTTCACTAGCAGTCAAAAACTAATGTGTACACTTATGTCTGCATTTTTATTTTGTCAAATATGAACAAAATCATAGCAGCCAGAAAGAGAGTAACAACTTGTTTATTTGGTAGTTCAATGAAACGCTTCAGTTCAGTGAGAAAAAAAAAACTGCGTTCACATTTGCAGTTTTGTCTTGTTACACAATAATTGAAATTTATCCATCTTCTTCCGCTTTATCCGGGGCCGGGTTGCGGGGGCAGCAGCCTAAGCAGAGAAGCCCAGACCTCCCTCTCCCCAGCCACCTCTTCCAGCTTATTCAGGGGAACACCAAGGTGTTCTCAGGCCAGCCGAGAGATATAATCTCTCCAGCGTGTCCTGGGTCTGCCCCAGGGTAAATTGAAATTTAAAAAAACAAAACACTTCATTTTCGGAAATATTTGAGGGTGTTTTCTTGTTTGTTTGTTTTTTGTACTACTTAAACACTAAAGAGGCCCTCCAATGAGATGACAGTGCCAGCAGTGGCCCACAGCTCATTTAAGTTTGAGACCCCTGGTCATTACCTTCCTGTATTTCCCTGAGAATAGTAGCTCATACTCTGGAAAAATATATGGGATGGATCACTGGCAATTTTATAAATGTGATGAATCACATTTGTTTCATATTTTGACTGGAGAGACTGATACTCTTTCCTATAATTTAGGAAAGATGTTAGATTTTGTTTTTACTGCAAGTGAGTCAAGCCGGACTGCCATCCCAAATAGCAAACCTTTCAGTGCTGCATTGAAAATGAAGTCTGTTTGTTAATTTCTAACATAACAATCAACATAAACTTCCCATTTAAAACATGTATCTATATAGATGCCCAAATACCTATATGAGCTAACCTGCTCTGTTGTACAGCCTTAAACACCACTGGGTCATGTATCCATATACCTTTAGGGTCAAATATAATTTCTTTCATTTTGTTCACTATGGAGACCACATGGTGTTGTAGAAGTCTCCAGAGAGAGCTGTGCTGTGAGGATATGGCCCTGAGGCTGCACAGGTTACCGTCTCCTTGTCAGGATTAATGAAACAAATGAAGCAAATCTCACCATTCACTGTGACAAACGGTAAGTACAGCACGTTGTTGACATCTCTACTGATTGGAAACAGAAGTCAAACTAAGTGGACCTGACAGCAGCAGGTATGGTGATACCTCACTTTTGCTTTAGAGCTTCTATTATGTAACTGCTGTGAGGGCATTCAGGCAGTGATTGTAAAGTTTTGAATCAATCAATTGCATTTGGGTAAAAATTTGTATCGCATTGATTTGGTAATTTTACTTGATCGCAGTTCGTGTATTGGTTTGTCTCTTTGTGTTAATCCTAAAACAGACTGGTGACCACTCCAGGGTGGACCCTGTCTCTGGACCTATAGTAGCTGGCTCCAGCCTCTCCTTCCATGATGTGTTCACAAACATTGAACACTTACATTTTTACCAGTTGCAGCTTGCGATTTCTTAGTAATGTAGTTTGTAGATGCTAAATAAATGAAAACTAAAAGTTTCATGATGCTGCGGTGGGGCCAAAAGACAAGTTAAGCATGTTTGTTTGTCTGTAGCTCAGTAAGATGCATTCTGCTTTGCTCACCTGCTCTGCACACACACTAAACATACATTGCACTTTCAGTGTCGCCATAGGGTTGGTCTAAACATCCACAGCACTGTCTGAAAAACTGAAATCAATTTGAAGTTTTACTTCCTGTTCAAATACTGCCTGTCCCACACTCAGCCTGGAGCAATTTTCTCAATCTGGTGCCAAGTATCCTGTTCGATATCTTTTCAGAGGTCCCTTCACCATGTTTTCTTTAGCCTACCTCTTTTTCTTCTCCTCACTTGTGGGCTCCATGTCAGGGCTTGTCTGGTGATCTTGTTGCCCGGTTTCCTCAGTGTATGTCTAATGCATCTTCTATCTGTATAGGTACTTGCTTTGCTTTTCCCCCACAGGTCGTGATTACAGATCTTTGGCCAAAAGGTCTCCAAAATTTTGCTTGGGCAGCTGTTGATGAAGTTCTGCATCTTATTGGTGGCAGCTTTTGTCATCTTCCAATATTCTGTACCATAGAGCAACACTGATTTCACGTTGAGCTGTAGAGTCTGGTCTTCAAGTATTCCTGACTTTACAGCATTTAACGGCACAAAAGTGTGAGAAAATCTTCATCTGCATCATGAGTAATTCGACTAATAAGACGCCTCATAATCATCATCTCATACATTTTAATATTTAAAAGTACAAAGTCTAAAATGTAGACATGCTTTTTAAGTAAAATACAACTGGAAGAGGGATGAGCAGACTTTTCCATTTTGCAGTGTATGCATATTTTGCCTCACCTCCAAATAAGAGCACACTGTGTTTATGCATTAGAGACTAACATCCTGGCTTTACAGATGATAGCAAACACAATTTTGCACTCTATTGCACTTTCAATAAGCATGCATATTGTCTTATACTGGCCAGGTAAAATAATAACTGAAATCACTAAAATACAACACCATGATC